TTAGTTTCAAATATTAACCCAACAAAGTCCCTAAAATACTTTCGCATTTGTTCTACATTTCTGAACATAAATCTTTTATACAGTTATTGGAGCATCTCTCATCTTTCTCGGAATTAGTTGACCTGCCATTGACCCGATCAATTAATTTACCCACTCGAAACGTGGCCCACCCTGACCCAAACACACACAAAATCAAAACTCAATTTGGCAAATGCCAGAAATAATTCTCATACTTATTCGGCCAAGCCTGAGTTTCCAAATTTATTGCTGACCAAGTAGAACATAAATTAAATCTAGATAAATTTTCGAAAACTTAGAAAAGACGAGTGCGAGGCGTCTATATTTATATTCAAATACGAACCAAACTCGAGCCCCACTGTCAATGTGAAGACGTCTGATAAATGCTTGGAAAATGTGCCCAAAAATACTTCACATGCGAATTAACGCAATAAATTCGGTTGTCCAATGAAACAAAGAGCCAGACATTTGTTGGTCCTAACTCACACACTGCCCTCGGGTCCTTATGTTTGTGTGGCCCAAGGCAAAAGTTTGATTGGAAAACACATTTGTGATTTATTTCAGCAAACATTTAATAAATTGAGCTCGAAATATATTTATTTTATGCGACTGGCTGGCCCCTTTGTCCCTGGGAAAATAACTTGATTAAAAAACCGCAAAAACCTATTTGAGGGCTCGGAATGACCGCAGCAATTGTTTGGGGTCCAAGAAGCCAGCTTCTTCTCTTTCGGCCACAATGTTATGGCCGCCGCAATCCGATTCAATGTGTAATTTAACACGAAATGGAAAGCGATTGGCGAGAATGTCTGTGTGCATGAGTATTGGTTGACCAGGTGCTGGTCGGAACCACAAACCTGTGCGCAATCTCTGCCCTTCTTGATGTCCGTTTCCGTGAGGGGTCGGCGAAGGGCAACACTTCCAGTTGAGTTTATTGATGTAGATATGGGGTTTATGGGCCAAAATCATATAATCCCCAGGGATTTGTCTTAGTTTGGGAATTGTGTGTCCAATTTTGGCAGCGAAGTTATATCTGAGAACATTTCTATGGGCAGTCAATACATTTCTTAAAGCTGCTGATGCCATTTTCCACACTGATTTTTTTAGAAGCATATTTCACGTGTGGACTTTTGAGTTTCTTTTTGCATTCCTCAATTATCATTAGCGTTTTTCTTTAGCCTCCAGTGAAATCTCAATCTGGCATCACGGAATGGGTGCCGTGCCCACATTTTCTGCAGACATTTTCGATTAAAATGCGTTGCATACTTTTATGCGCATATTCACACAACCCACACACAGACTTCCATCAAGACAAGGACCTCCGCTTGGCCCGATGCGATCCACCAGAAGGGGGGCTCTTCAGAGAATACAAATAATTACGTTTTTTGTCTAACTTTTTTGTTGGTTTATGTGACTGGGACTGTGACTGTGTCTGTGTCGCCTGGTTCCTGCTCCTCCACACGTAACTTTTCAATGGGTAAAACTTTTTGCAGCCTTCCTCTGCCCGGACAATTCACACACACAGAGAGAAAGAGAGAGAGAGAGAGAGAGAGAGAAGAGAGCGGTGCATAAAATGTTTGTAAGTGACGTTGAAATTGAGACACTTGTCGCTTAATTGTTTTTCAAGCTTCCACATAAAAAACGTAGCCGAAGAAGGGACTCCACTCCCCCTGCCCTTGCTCTCTATATTTCCACCTATTCCCATTGTTCTCTTCCTATGCAATAGATAAATGTTGTTCTTGTTGCCTGCCGAGACGTGCTGGGGAAATTGAAAAGGGATTTGCCTTTTGCCTTTTTTTAAGGGCATCATTTACACTTCTTATTCTTGGGGTGTGCCTCCAAGTTGTGCTCTGGTTCCATTTGCTGTAGCATATTTCTGTTTGCATGACTTCTTAGTGTCGCATCTGTGGGGGTGTGGCCCCGGGTTGGACTGCACTTTCTGTGGTTACTTGTCTGTAGATTATTTTAAGTAATTATCAAGCGATTTGCGCAAAGGTCTTAAGTGTTCTCAACTTCTGAAGAGGTCTCTGATGATGGCAGCGGCGACAACGATGCTGGCCATAAGAGCGGAACTGGGCGTGAATTAAAAATGTAAATTTAAGCAGTTAAGTGGAAGACAGTTGCATGTAATTGCTGTGCCATAGTGCAGAAAGCGGACAACTCTTCTATTTTTCTCACAATGCTGAAAGGACGCAATCAAATCGCAGCTGCAAAATGTCGCCTCACCAGCTTGCTGGAACGTTAAAGGGGACCTAGAATCGTTTTCTATAGAATAATGATGCTACTCCTGACTGCGCATGTATGGAAGAATATCTTTGTCCATGGAGTCATATCATTATTTAATCGGAAGTTTCATGGATATATGCTAGCATGCGTTTTTATCAGGATTCTAATTTTGTGTTGGTCCGCTCTCTTTTTGCGCCTTTTAGCTGCTTTTTGTTTGTCCTTTTCACCTAACCCGCTTTGGTTACCTTTCGCATATTTCCCCCATTGGTTGTAATGAATAGACAGGTAGAAAAAATTGAAAATAATTATATTTGCTCGAGAGTTTAGTAGTTTCCTGCTTGGAATTCTGGGATCCTGTTAGAGGTCTACAGTTTCGAGACCCTTAACTCTATTTCCATTCTTCCTTAAGACCATTTACATGCCTTAAACTGTATCAATCGATATAGTAAGTGGGCCTTATACCCTTATACCCTATACCCCTAGCCTTTTTGGCCCAGCTAGAGCCTCTGAGCGCCTGTTCGTTTGAGCCAGTTTTGAACGCTTCACTGATCCCAGGTGATGCTGCAGAAGATCTGCAGGAACTCTTGTACAAATAAACTGTTTGTCGGTTCTGTTGGCCTGTTCGTTTTGTTTTCGTTATCGTCACGCTTCGTTGCAGAAATACAAAAATTCGGAAAAAGAATTTTGATCTTTTGAGTAGCAAATCCTGATCTACCGCCTGCAATTTTTGTTGGCCTGTTCCTTCTGTACGCATGAATGCGTTTCAAGGCTGTTCGGCTACCTGCCTGGGCATCAATTCTATTATATTAATATACTCTATGTGGGTGCCATCTGCATCGATGCTCATTAGTGGCAGTCATGATTAAATATGCATCTGTACCACTGATAACTGAAACATCCGCAGGATGGTTAATCTAAGTAAATATAATTTAGGTGCACTGTCATTAAGGATGGGAAGTTAGTCAATCAGGTTTCCCTTTAATTGCATAAACTGGTATTGATTTGATTGGATTGCTAAGGCCAGCTAAGAGGCTGGTCGTCAAAGCTCTGAGTGTTGTCCGCAATTGTTAGAATTTCCAACAGTTAAAGGAACATCTGTAAATGAATATCAGTCGAATAATGAACGTGTTTTCGGTGTCTAAATATTTTCCTATAATTTGTTTGCATGCCGCACTTTTCCTCTCTGATTTAAAGGCACACAGAAGCTCAGTATTAAAAGGACGAGCACATAGACAAAAGTTACGAAGCGTTGAGTGTTGACGGGTATACGATCTATGGTCGGTTAACTCACCTAAGCCTGGAAAATTGAATGCAATTGTGACAGAGTGACACAGGCAGAGACAGAGAAAGAGTATGAGAATGAGTGATGGTCAAGTTGGGGGCTCTCTGGGGTAGACCAGGGCTGGGATCAGGCTGTGTGATGGTGGTGCTTCATGTTGTATAACTTATTACGACCATAATTAACACTAAATTCCCCAAATGGCAACGGACAACTGTCAACTGCAAAATCATTTGCGGTGAGAAGCTGAAGCCGAAACAGAGGCCGAATGGCACAAAATTCATGTGAATGCAGGCAGACTGGCAGATGCTGATGCTGATGCTGCTGGTGGTGCTGCCCCTGCCCCTGCCCCTGCCACTGTTGATGTCATGTTGCAGGATTCGGTTACATGGCAGCTCAAAGAGAGTGCCGTCATCTCATGTGGGCTTCTCTCCTTGGCTCTTCCTTCAGCTCTGTTCCCATTGCCCGTCGCTGCTGCTGCTGCTGCTGCTGCTGCTGACTTATGCGATGCGTCCTGCTGCAGCAAATTATAAAATGTTTGCCCTACTGCACGCTACACATATCACAAGTCATGCCCTGCAGTGCTCTCAGTATCCCAGTAAGATGATGTGTCCTTATGCCGCATCCATGTCCACATCCTGATTTCATTTCCTTTTATTTCATCTTGTAATCAAATTAGAAGAGCCAAGAACAATTGGGGTCACATCATGCGGATGTTGCCGACCTCATTCACCCGTTTTAAAATATATTTCAAATACTTCAGACTGTGTAGAAGCGCTCCAGAGCTCTATTAATGGTAATACTAATTTCGTTTTTCTCTTGCAATGCATATGCCCAAATGATTTCAAGAAATATTCGATACCGCATGGAAACAAACCTTCTAATTAATGGGCAGCTCTCCTTCTGACTCTGCGCCTTTGGCACAACAGTAGGTTTGGAGCTGCTCTGTTCTGAGGTATCGGGAGGTTCCCTAAATCAATATCACATTGCAGCCAAGGAGGAGGGAGATTCCGAAATTTCATGTCCTCACGGCAGCCCCATTCCCTGCAACTCTCTCGCCAGCGTCTGCATGCTTGCAATTGAGTTTTGAGTTACACAACCGCAAATAGACAGGGAGCGATTCCAGACGAGTCATCAGAATTCCTGGAGGGCTCTGGGTGGCTCGCAATCTGATCGACCAACCGGAGGAGTGGGCCAAGACATCCCCGTCTCGTGTGTGTGAATTGTCTGACGTTTATGATTGCTGCAAACAAAAGCTACGATGACTGCACTTGAAATGGATAATTACGATGTGCAATATTTGTCCACTGTCCCGGCACACAAACAACCCACAAAGGATCCTCCTCAGGGGCAAGCGAGCCACAGTTTTAGTATATAAATTGAAGAGAACTATTGATTGCTCATTAAAACGTTGGGTCTGTGTTCCACAAATTAATAATATCTGCAACAGAGAACTAGCCTCATGAGAGTCTTTAAATATGGGGGAATCACGAAATTATTTTATTGCTCTTAGAGTCTTCAGGATCTCACTCATTGCTCTGGCGTTTCCAACGGGCACACTGTGACCAGCATTTTTCACCCAGAACATGGTCAGAGTTCCACCTGTCTTCTGGAATCCCTCGATCTTGTCCCTTACAATGATGGCTTCCCGGGGAGCACTCGAGTAGGCGCCTCTACCGCTCCATTTCAGTCTCTTTATCCAGTGCACGGTGCTCAAGGTAGAGCAAATCAGATCCAGCTGTCCCGAAATTATATTCACTTTAAGGGAAGTGCCTTCCAAAAGCTGTTCAACTGAATTGGGCAATTTTCTCGACATTTAGAACTCTTCAAATTAGAATGTTTAGATGATCTTACCTGTGGTCAGAGCAGCTTTCATGAAATCGCTACTGAGGCTCTCGAAGACAACGTTGCTGAAGCTTTCGAATTGAAGACTTTCGCTTAGGTTAAGGGCAACTCTGACTGGACCATTCATAAGCTGGTTCTCGCGAAGTTCCGTGTTCTCCGTAGGTTCCATAAAGTTGTACAAATCTATTCCCTGAGCAGCTATGAGCCGTTGCACTGTGAACATCTGGTTAGTAGCATCGCTCCAGAGATTCCTTTTCATCAAGTGGCCAACTTCGAGGGAGGCTTCATGGATATCGCTGTACAACTGGTCGTCAATCGCACCGATTGTGAGCAGGATGCGCCCCCAGGACATAACGGAGAGCAGAGGTGATATCCAGGGACTGACCAGGTTAACGGAGATCAGTTTGGAAGTTGTTTCATTCTGCAGTTGGAGTGCAAACTCTGACGCCACCTTGGCCCCGTAGCTCTGACCGAAGATGTGCAGGGGAACCTTTTGGAATACTCTGTGTCTGCTGTAGAAACCATTCATGAAGCTGACCAGATCCTTTCCCAGTTCTCTGTTGTTCTCCGAGCATTTTGTGTGATTATCCAGATAGCTGAAGCCAGTGCCCAGCGGTTGATCAATGAAGAGTACGTTGAAGTCTTTTACCCAAGTTGAGTGACGCATTTGACTGTCCATATCAATGGGACCCAATTCCCCAAAGTTACCATAAGATGTGGAGGCTGAACCGGGCCCGCCTTGCAGCCAGATGATCAGCGGTCGGTCAGCATAGTTCGGAATATTCCCACCTGTTGTATAGAAGAGCCAGTAGAACATGTAACCTCCAGGACGGACCTCGATGTGGCCCCAGTCCTGTTCTCCAGGTCCATATCCGCGACGCCCTGAAGGAGGTTTCTACCTTTTTCTGGGTCTCACATTTGAATGATTTACATCGGAGCTCATACCATGGGATATCCATACTAAATGGGCAAACAAAACAACGATGCAACTCAGAGCTCTGCTCATGTTAAACTGAAATCTTTCTTCGCTACTTGGGACCATATTACGAAAAGTCGCGTTGCGATAATTGCAATGACACGGTAATAGATTGTGAAATCGGTTTCTCCGAGAGCTGAACGTTGGTATTTAAGGTGTTGGTTTCAATTTTTTGTTTAAGTTTAAAGTTATGTTTTAACAACAAACTATTTATCACTTTGGAAGCGTTCAACAAATATTTAAATAACGCAAAGAAAGAGGTATGGAATATCTGTGCTGGGAACACTAAGAGAAATTCGACTTCCATTCACATTTCCCTGCAAAAACCTTCAGTTTAAAGCTTCTCTAATACATGACTCGACTTTGTAAGAGCTTTCCATGTGCCAGAGAACTTTTGCCAGACTGCCTTGAAAAGTGTAACCAGTAAACAAGCGAAAACTCTTCTACAATCTATCTTGCATCTTTTGTTATCGGACAATACCCTACCCTACCATGTTGTTTGTCCAATGAAAAAAGTTTTCAATATGCAAAAGCTTCACCAACACTTTCTCTCTTTCCCACTGTGCTTCTCTTTCGGTGTGTCTCTCTGCCTCTCTCTTTGTGTCTATGACCAGGTGTTTTATGGAGCAAAATATTTTCATACATTAAAGTTTTACGGAAAAGACAACAAGAACTAGAGTGTGTCCTTGGTTGAGTTCTGTAACTTATGGGAGAGTTACTTGGGAAAAAGAGTACGCCGTCTTCTTGAGCTTGTGTGCATTCTGTGTGACAGAGAAACCAACAACCATTGATGGAGAGAAAAAGAGAGAGAGAGAGCAAGTCAGTGGAAATATCTGGCAACACTTACAGGCGTAGATGCTGCCTCTACTTTAATATCGCAAGTGGTGGGTCAGAAAAAGTAGAGAAATGAATGCTTGTACAATTATGTATGACATGTGCGTGGCTATTTAGGTACTAGGATCCTCCGTGCCACCCGGTCTGCGGAGGACACTCCTCCGCTCCTGTTAACTGAAACTAAACAGTAGAAACACGGCTGTCAACAACTGTAACATTTACCGCATGTCGCCCGGCTCGGCGCTGCATGACAGGACATGTTGTGGCTACTCGGGGCACCACACCCAACTGGCAGCCCACTTCTCTCCCCTCTGGGTTCTAGTTTCATGGCAGTGATAATGCCCTGGCCCTGGGTAGACCAACTCCCACAGAAAAGGGATTCAGGAGAGGTTCCAGCATCACCACTTGGCTAGCTTAATTGTTTAAATGCATTTTAAATTTGCTCTGGCTAAAAGGTACTCCAACAATTCTTGAAGTACTGAACACAAAAAAAAAACACCTGAAGTAATTTTATCTCTTCTGGTGAAGCAGCAAATTGGGAACGTGGTGAGAAGAGAAGGTAAATAGATCTTATCAAAGTGGTCGGAGGTAGAGAAATCTATTTAATTCCATTTCTTTGCTAGGCATTCTACATGCTGCTTGAGCAAGCTTCCATACAACATACAAAAACTGTATTAAGCGCATCGAGAATCATCCCTTTCAGAGTCTCAGCAGTGTGCAGCTTTTAGCTCTCTCTCGATGCAGCTCTCTCTCTCTCTCTCTCTTGCTGCATAGCAACACGTACGATGATCTCTATTTACCGTTTCGCTTTTAATCTCTCCTTGAACATTATTGCTCGCTCTCTTTTACACCAACAACAACGCAGCTATGAGTCAGACACTGGACAAGACGGTGCGTGCGTGCACAGCGATGGTATAAGCAGTGACCAAAAACAAACGGTAAAGTGCAAAGGAGACAACGAAAGGGAACACGGCAAGAAATTTTGTAGTGAGTAACCACATATGTACATATACACTGCAGACAATATTAAGATTCGACATGAGGCAGATTTCAAGTGTGAAGGTAGTTTGGTGGCGACAAGAGTGAAGTTTTATGCCCATTAGTCCACTGACAGGTACCACTATCTGTGTCCGAGCACAGATAGTCGCGAGGCGTCGTTTCGCCTTTGGCTCGAGTCATAAATTAGCATTTGCATGCGATTGCGTTTGCGATCTGTGTACGAGTGTCTGCTGCTTTCTCTCTCAGTGTCGGTATATCTCCCGGGTAGCTCTCCTCTTGCTTTGGCTGCGTTGGTTCTGCCGCATTGGGCACGCAATTTATGGGATCACAAAAATAACCGAAAATAGAAGAATCAAATATGTTTTTACCATTTTCTGGACGACTATCAAGAAAAATGAAAAAGGATGTTGGCCCAATTTTCGAAGTTTCTCTTTGTCGTTTTTGACCAATAAATTCAATAATTTATTGCCAACAAATATCTCTATTTGCGATAGCAGCTGCAGCAAATATTTAATCAAAACGCTTCAATTTAAAGGGAGCAAACACAAAATTATTTGACAAACGACAGGAGCAGCGACAAAAAAAAAAGCTCCCTTAGGGGAAGTGAAGTGTATTATCACCTCAAATATATGTAATAAAGTGCCGGGGAGGCCTCTGACACAAAGCAGACACTCTTTGCCCTTTCCACTCATACACACAGACAATGGCAAACATGGCACAAAACAGTTGGCAAAAAATAAATAGGTAGCATATGACAATGGGGACAGGAGAGCCAGCTTGAACTCGAGTGCGAACCCAGCCTAAAGCCAGAGCAGAACAAAGGCCAAAGCCAATGAAGTTATCATCGAGCGCCAGACAAGCGAACAGACGGCGCTTGGGGAGACGGTGCGGCGGCACATCCAAATAAATAAATTACACTTGGGCAGGAAATTCATCTACTTAGTCCCCGCAGGTGGATGACACCACAGACGAGGTCTTTAACATACATACTAAAAGTAACAGAAGTTCGAAGGGACCCTAGAAGGAGAACTGATATCAGATGAATGAACTTGCGTACACAATCCACATCTATGTATAAATATCAAAAACTAATTCGATAAACGGCAAAGTTGTATATTCCAAGTACACTTTGACTTCAATTTCAACAAATTCTCAGACGTAGCTTAGTCCATATTTTAGTTTAGATTAAATAAAACTATGGCTAAGGCAACAACCATCAAGGACGCACTGACCCGTTGGGAGGAGAAGAATAGCCAGGAGGCCATCAGCGCCACTCAAATTGGACTGCAATTCCAGTATCCGCCGATAGAGAAAATGGACCCAACCCTGAGCACTCTGGTGGCGTGCAACCGTCTGAGTTTGTCCTCGAATATGATCGAAAAGATCAGTGGGATATCGGGCATGAAGAATCTGAGGGTGTTGAGCTTGGCCCGCAACAACCTGAAGACTTTAAGCGGTATCGAGCCACTGGGCGAAACGCTGGAGGAGCTCTGGGTCAGCTACAACATAATCGAGAAGATCAAGCCGCTGGAGTCGATGAAGGCACTTCAGGTGTTCTACATTTCGCACAATCTAATCAAGGACTGGGTCGAGTTCATGCGCATTGCTGTACCTCCGAATCTCACCGACATTACATTCAATGGCAATATTCTCAGTGAGAACATGGAACCGGCAGCCTTTACCGCCGAGGCTGTTCGCCGCTTGCCCAATCTGAAGAAACTAGACGGTGAACCAGTCATACGCTAAATACCAGACACAAAAACCAACACAAAACAGATACACAACGCAGAAAACAGACTTCAGAACAACACAAGCAATGCAATCGAAAATAAAAGAGAATCCCATGTCTAACCAAAACCCTTTGACCTGAATGTTCAAGCTAGGCCTGCGCCTCCTTGCCTTGTCACGCCCACAAAACAAGGCCGGCATCAGGGACCATCATTGACCGCCGCCTCTCTGTGTGTGTTGGGCATTTGTGCAAAACCATTTTTCCATTCAATTTCTTATGCTTTACAATTGAGAAGCAATGCAAGAATTTTCCAATTTTCAATGCACTTCTGCAGCTGCTGATGAGTTCCATTGTTTTGCCAGCCTCCAGTGATACGCACTCTTTGGAGTAAGGCAAGGAGTATTTTCTGTACCCTAATATCTATAACTGTTGAGTAGAGTGGCGTACAATTTTGGTAGAGTATTAAACCCTCCATTTTGCTTGAGAATTTTTCTCTCATTGCTGTTCATGTTGACGAGCTGTATGACGAGTGCAAGGTGCATTTATCCAAGCTCCTGTGTACGCATTGTCTGCATATTTTCAAGTCGAAAAAGTAATGAGCCCTTCTGCCTTCTGCCTGCAACAAGAGGGCGTGGCCTGTAGGGAGACTGACTTTTCAGATTAAAGAGGGGCAGGGAAGGGAGCTGAGTTGCTGTAACGAATTCAGTTTGAAGAGTTTGGATTTGTATGTAATAAAAAATGCAGAGTATTGACTTTATTCAAATGCAGCATAGGCCACATAATCCATCAGCAAATAACAATAAATTGTTGATATCCACACATAAAAACCACAGTTAAAAGTTCCCAACAAGTGAAAACAATCGAAGATTCAGAAGTTGACTTGGAATCTGCTTCCGTCTGCCGTACTCTTATTTGTTTTCTGTGCATAAATAATCAACAAACTGTGTGGAGGGAGAAGGTGGACAGACCGACAGACAGATAGAGATTTTTGGCAAACAAGCGACTAAACAAAATATATTTATGTGAGAATGTCAATTTTTGTCTGCCAACCCAAAACGACACGAGATAAAAACGTTGAACAAAATCATAAAAACAGCAGCCAGGCGTGGCCAAACCCAGCCAAAACACACACATGCCCAAACCGAATCAGACCGATTGCCAGACACCAAAGTTTAATGATACTTTTATGTCTTTTCGATTTAACAACTTTTCTACTCATAATACTGCTGCTGCTGCTTCTGCTGCTGGTGCTGATGTTGTTATTTGATAAACAACAATATTAATGTAAACATGAAGGCCTGGCAATAGTTCGACGTTTTGGCAGACAAACAGCAAACGAGACAATTGTACAATTGAATGCACACAAAAATATTTTCGGCCAGGCCCCAACTAAACGGTTGGTTGATTGGGCCAGCAGCTGCCAGACGGAGATGAATTCGAATTCCGAACTTAAAGTGCAGATTAATTTAAGAGGAACCACTAGAAAATAGTTTCCAAATCAAACGTATAGCACAATTATCGAAGATTTTCTTCTTTGATTTCTCTTTTTCTCATCTACTCTTCTCCAATTGATTAGTCATATTTTAAGCCAGACAAATAAGGAAGAAAATGCCTAAAGTTAAGAAATCTGAGAGCATTATGACGCAACTGAATGCCTTGCCTTTCCCCAGTAATTAAAGCTTTTGTTTTGTGAAACAATTTGCAAAGAATGTCTGAAAATAGAATCGTTTTACCATTTCTTCTTTTGTATTTAAAAAAATATATAATATTATTGCACAAATCTAAATGCCAAATGCCGAAGGGGTTGGTAGGTTGATAGGTTGGTAGGTTGGAGTGGCTGTGTTTGCGAAAGCTTATACAAAATTTACGTTAGAAGTTTGTGTGGCCAGAGGCCGGGTTCTGGCTGTTCTTGTCCTTGTCGTTGGCAACTCTGGCCATGACAACACCGAACCGAACTACAGCAGCACTCGACTGCCCCAACTATACTGCACTGCACTGGACTGTACCATACCATACCCATGTGTGTGTGTGTGTGTGTGTGTGTGTGTGTGTGTTGGGGGGTGTGGGCGAGAAACTTGGAGTGGTTTTTGCGCTGTGGTTGCGCAATCGTCTGTGTTTGTGCTTCGGTTCTTGTGTCCGTGCTCTGGCCTGTGCTCTTGGGTTTGTTTTTTACATTTTGTTCACTTGCTGTGGTCAAGGGTTGTGTCGGTGCTGCCAAAGTGTTGCCATATATTCTAAATATGTTGGTAAGCCCCTGCTAGCCCCTGCTGTTGGCCGTGGGCTGGGCGGCAAAATTGGAAAACGTAGAAGTGGCCAAAACGACAGTTAAACGCAAAACGGTAGAGAAAGCCACTTGGCAAACTAAACGCGTGATTTATGCCTCACCAATGATAAGAGACAGAAACAGTTAGAAAAGCAGGTGAACAAATTAAAGGAAAAGGAATGCAAAATGGATAAAGATAAAGATAAAAGTGTGGTCTGTCTGTCCGGGTGTTTTAAGCCGAATAACAAAATGGTCAACGAAAAGAAAACAGTTGCCAAATGGCAAATTAATATAATTTCCATGTTTTGCTAGTAAAAATATATAGGAAAAACTCTTTCAACTCTGATATATTCCAATCTACTCCTTTCATAGTTTTTAGCAAGCAAACGCCTCTTCGTTTGCTTTTCCCAGTCTATTAGAGCATTGCAAATCTACTCCAAGGTTGCTTTTGCTGGCAGTGGCATATCTTTAAGTTACTTTAAGCCCCAGCCATAGACACATGTGAGAGAGAGTAGCAGTAGCTCTCTCGTGATCTCTGGCATACGATTCCACACATTCGCATCTTGCGCCTGTCAAAGGAGCATAAATCTATTCAAAGTCTTTACCAAAAATCCAGACAAATGCCAGAGATTACAAAAAGATTTTGGGCAACATGATGCATGGGGCCTCTATTCTTTGAAAAGTAGATGTGTCTTCATGTGTGTCTGTGTCTGTGTGTGTGTGTGTGTGACTATCTAGCACCACAAAAGTAACCGACCAACACATACAAAAACAATTAAAGCCTGATTAATAGTTGCAGCCAAGCGGCGCGTCGCTGGGAGGTCCTACCTTTCGCCAAGTGCTCTTGGCCATTTCTCCCAAAAGGCTACGAGCCCATGCCCGTTCTGCCGCTGAGGCTGAGTTATGACTTTTGCTGGCACTCGGCAGAGCCTGTTTAGCATACTTTTAGGCCTCAGACATTGTGGTACAACTCTCTCTCTCGCTCTCTCTCTCTCTCTCTCTTTTCTCTTGGTTGTACGAGTGTGTGCGTGCTGGGAGCCTCTCCCTCGCGCATAAGTCAAATTGTTGTTAATTTTACAATGTTAACCCTTAAACCAAAATACCGGCAGAGTCATAACATAAATTCATCTTCCCCCACTTACTCTCTCTCTCTCTCTCTCTTTCATACCTCCACGCACTCTGCCCATTCCCATCCCCAACCCGCCGCTACGGCAACATAGTATAAATCATTAAATTTTAATGCTTCCCAGGAGATCAATGAACATGACCGCAAATTATACTGAAGCGTGCTTTCAGGCGCACAAAAAGATTTCCCTGCATAAAATGCATTTCATTCAAATAATAAAAAAAGAAAGCGGAGGAATAATAAAAAACTTTTCCGTTTGGAGTTGCATTTTATGCTGGTGTGTCTGTGTCTCTGACTCTGACTCTGTCCATCGAAAAGGGCAACAGCTCTTTAAACAGATGTAAAAATATATAATTCGAAATGATAATATACTGCATGACTGGCTGTCTAGACTTTAAAACGTTTACAGACGTGGAAAAAAATAATTTATCAAAAGCTGAAGCGGAAAATATTATTCCTAATTTGTGACGAAAATATTTCAACGTGCTTTCAGATTTAAGCAGCTTTTTTTTAGTATTTAATCTTTAAAACTGGATTCGAATTCGATGCTGTTAAAATATACATTTTTAATGGGATAAAAGCGATTTATATTGTATATTTTTTTAATTTTTCTTCTATATGCATTCAAATTTAAGTGTGTAGAATCCAGTTTAGACTTCCCTCAGCAAATGGTTGCATAAACTGCACTTCCGGAGCCTTTAAGCATGCACTACAAGATGCTACATGGCAAACAAACTCCCAAAACACACACACACGGAGAGAGCACTCACACTTGGATAGTAAATCAAAAAGTTCTGGAGTGCCAAATAGAGGCGGGCGCACCCTACCAGCCGGCCTCCACTTGTAGATACTTATTCCGACTGCATCTGCCAGACACGCCCTCATCCAGGCAGGCACTACCAGTTTCAGCAGCGCATTTGACATGAGAAATCATAAACAAGTTGTGCAAACTTCTGCCCGCTCGCTCGCATACATAAAACTCCATTTTGCAACAGGAAGTCGCTGACACACACACACACACACACACACACACATACACATGCACACCCATGCAGGAGCTGCTAAAAATGTATAAATTAAAATTTTCGCAGCGCGCAGCGTCCACCAAAATGATGCGGCATGGTTAGAAGAGAGGCAAGCGCAGGGGCAGGGGCAGCAGAATGCAGATTTCTGCATTTGTCTGCGTGGCAGGGAGATAAAGGGAGCAAGAGAGGGAACGCTGACTGACATGGGGTAAGGGTATGAAGGGTAATTCTCTTCGTGGACGTAGAAATGGCATTCGTAATACATAAAATAAGTGGAAAAATAAGAGTCATATTTTAACATTGAGATGGAAATTTGTTTAGCAATAAATTGTACTGAAATAAATTCATGTAATGCGAGCCCAGAATATGTCTTTGTTGTCTTGAGTTAGCTTTCCTTCCCAATTCAATTATTACTCTATACAAAAGCAAAGCAAAAAGTATCGAGAAATATTTTATTTCATACTCATGTTCCAAGATTGCAAAGCTGCAAATTATTTTGAGTTATAGTTTGAGAGTATCTCTTGGCCATCAATCTCCCATTGGAACATTTCCTTAATTTTCATTTTGTGTTTGCTTTTCCTGTGTTTGACCAGAATTGTGCATGTGTGTGCCTTGCTTTTCCTTCCAACATAAATAGT